CGAGTCCATGAAAAATTTACACTTCTCTTCTTTTAGATAAAATCCATACTCAGATATTTTGGTCAAAACAGCATCAAGTCGATCAAATAAATCGGACTTACTGGAACCTGTAACGATAACATCATCCAGATAGACAGCGACTCCTGGCAAATTTGCCAACATAGTGTCCATAATTTGTTGAAAAATAGCTGGTGCTGGTTTCACACCAAAAGACAAACGTTTATATTGATAAAGGCCTCTGTGAGTGTTAATCGTCAGTAGTGTTTGGGAGACTGGATCAACTGCTATTTGGAGATATGCGTCAGCAAGGTCAATCTTAGCAAAATACTTCCCCCCATTTAGTTTGATAAATAAATCTTCCTGTATGGGAAGTGGATAGGTGTGATCCTCTAAAGCATCATTTAGACCAGTGGAAAAATCAGCACATATGCGAACAGTCCCATTTGCCTTTCTCACAACTACTATGGAATCAGCCCACGGTGAGTAATTTACTGGCTGAATGACACCCAGTGCTTCTAACCTGTCAAGTTCCTGGTCAACGACTGACAGAGCAGCATAAGGTACTGGTCGTTTTGGTCTGAAGACAGGTTTTGCATTTTTCTTTAACGACAAGAAAACTTTGGTGAACTTACAACAGCCCAGTTTGTTTTGGAATACATCTGCATGTTTTTGCCGAAGATGATTTACATGGGATGTGGTCGACATTTTAGAGGAATAAGATGCATGAGATTTTGAGATATTACGACAGCATACTTTGTATGACGAATTTGATGGGGAAACATTTTGTGAACATGTTACATCGGAGTTATTTGATTTAGCATCATTATGAGAACACATCAAATCGGAGGTATTTGATTTGACATTATTATGAGAACACAGTAAATCGGAGGAATTCGATTCCGAAATATTACGAGAACATGTTACATCGGAAGCATTTAGTTCATAAACATCAGGGGAACATAACACAACTGAGGCATTTGATTCGGAAATATCAGGATTATGAGAACCTACTTCATTTAATAAACTATTTAAGACATCAATCTTCTCAATCCAGTCCAATCCCAATAGATCTAAATCATGCCGATTTGTTAGATAACAAACGTCAGTGAATTTATGTTCCTTGAACTGCACCTTGCAGGTGACTTCTCCAGTTAGCTTCACTATGTCGCCTGAAGCATTTCGAGCAACATGCTCTGTTGGTCGGATGCGTGGGCACCCTAGCTTACGCCATGTGTTCTTGGAGATCAGTGTAATGTCGGAAGCAGTGTCTAACTGAAGAGGAATAGGTTTTTCATTCACTAATAAGTTCACATACTTCCGTTTACTTTGAAATCCCACTTTAAAAGTTGCAAATGTGCTTTTGACTTGACTCTGTGGCTGTCGCTTCACCTTTACTCCACGATGTTTGGACTGACGTTTATCTGATGAGCAGTAACCTTCTTTATGACCAATGCGATGACACTAGTGGCATTTGTGGTTCTTAAATGGGCATAACTTCACAAAGTGCCATGATCCGCAGGACCAACATGGTGATGGTGGTTTACCAGAAGGTTTCTGTGTGTTCGCCGTCTTTTGTTTGGAAGGTTTGTAAGATCTGCATGCATTTATTGAAGCAAGATTTGAAGTCTTTGCATTTTGCTGTGCCATCGTGGAATCATGTTTAAGATTTAACAACCGTTGACACTCGGTTGTGACCGTTTGCAGGGTCATATTAGGCTCCTGCTCAATGCGTGATAGAATTCTGGTACGTATATCCATATCTTCCGAATTCTTTAATCCACAGATAAAAATCAGACATTTAAATTGATCTGCTGTAATTTCATTTATTCTAAAACGTTCGCATTCTTTATTTACATGTCCAGCGTATGTGAGATAATCATCGGATAAGGATTTAGATATTTGAAAACACTGATAACGGATGCTGAATAATGAGGATTGTTCACCAAAAATTTGAGACAAAGTTTGAACTGTTTCATTGAATGATAAATCTCGTGGATTTTGTGGCAAAATGAAATTTACATATTTGTTATATTCAAGTGTTCCGAGTCTTCTCAAGAGTAGGCGAACTTTGGCTGCATCATCAAGATTTGAGCATTCAACACGAAATGTGTCTTCAAAACGGCGAAACCATGAATCGAAAATAATACCAGAATCAGGATCATAATTGAATTCACAAATAGAATTTGCGATGCTGTCATATTTATCTGACTGAGAATTTGATGATGAATGAAATGAGAGCTTCTGCATCAATGCATCTAAAAGCTTCATTTGGTTTGCATCATTCTGAGCTTGCTGGATTTGTAGAATAGTTTCAAGGTCGTCCAAAGAAACAGACATTTTGATTTGGATCAATCAATATTTTTAAAAAAATCTCCGTCGCCGCTTTTGTTACTTCCTTGAATCTGTCTACCCACTTAGTGCCGAGTATAATGTAGATCAAGACCTTGACACGATAGGCTGACTGGCTTAACCTTGAGGCTAATATGCGTGAGTTCGAAGTGGGGGTAGAGAGATGAAAACTATTCTATCCCTGATTGGTCGGCAAGCACGCGAGAGAGAGAGAAGACAAAGACAGCTGGAACACTAATCACTTTATTCCAACCCCGATCTAGCACTCGAATTCCCAATTCCGATTAGGGTGAAAAGTTACATGAATAAATAGATGACTAAGCGGACCACAACGTACAATAATTTGAAAAATACAATCATGTCCAAAACTGGGGGATTATAGTAGAAAATAGGGTACAAAAGATTACGTCTAAATGACAATAACTTTAGAACAGAAAATGCTATGGCAATGAATTATACATCAAACGAAAGCTTATGATCTGTAGAATAGGCTAGGGGCAAAAGTAAATGTTACAGTTTTACAAGCTTTGAATTAAATGAATTAACGTCCACGAAAATAGCTTCCGTAATTTGTTCAGGCTTCTAGTTTTGCGGATCAAATCACTATTTTGGACGGTCACGGTTTTATCCGGGTCCTCAATTTCTACTGGAGATGCATGACTACTCATGTTAATATCAGGTGACGATTCACTCCCCTTTAGTCGTTACGGAAACTTCACTTTTCCATCAATCACAGTAGGTTGTTTAACGCGTCTTGTAACAGCACGTACGACACTGACACCGTTTTCACTGTCGTTACTTGTGTTACCAGCGCAACCACTATCATTCTTTTTACAGGCTAGAGCTATTAGGCTCATAGCCTCCTGGATTAATACCGTCCTATTTGAACAGCAGAACGTGCAAAGCAAATGCGAGTTTGGCTTGGATCATCTTCTGTATGCAGCAGGACTAAGACGGGTACCCATCTTGTGGAACCACTTTTACACTCATCACACTGCATCCCTCGATCCACGGGGAATAAACAGTTCGGCTATCCATATTTGTAATTGTTGCCAATCATTGTAATCAGAATAAGGTCTATAACACAATATGATAACAACAGAAACACAAGTGTCAAAGTCAATGACAGAGGAGGTACCACGCGACAAAGTCTTTAACAAAATTTCAGACTTTAACCAAAATAATTCAAGTTAAAGTAAACCAGTATGCTTTCTGATGCAACAAATGCATAACGATAACCACAACAAGTACAGAATCACTGCTCTTTTTGAAACATGCGTTACTCTTGGGCGTGTTTTTCAGTTATTGTAGACGTTTGATGTTGGACACTTGCCTTGTAATTGCTAACATAGTGTCTAACCACTTAATTCCCACTCGAACACCAAATATACATTAACGATCGGTGTAGTTAGAGAAGGCTTTCCATAACTTTAATTTTTTCGCCCTTTATACTTCATGATGATTGTTGATCTGATTATTCCCTCGAATTTTTCTTAACAAATTATAATGAAATAAAATTTTCGTGGTGAAAGTTCCTGGAGGTTTCTGCTCTTCGGTTTTCCCTGTAGGTTCAGCTCGCTCACAAATCAGTTTGCTGGTAGTTGATGACTCATTTTAGGTATTTTTAGTGTCTTTTACTCTAGTCCTCATATTTAAAATACTTGGAACATCTTAGAAACAAGTTAATCTGGTTAACTGAGTCATAGGCACTTGATTATGCGCCATACTTTGAGTGTTAAGGTTAATAGTCTAGCCCGGCTACCGAAAATGGTGGGGGGCGAATATTTTGTTTTCTAATCGGAATGGTTTTTTAAATTTTCAGGTGTCCTATTTTTCCTTTCAGTGTGCCTGGTTTCATTACTGTCTTCACTTCTGAATAATTTCACTACAAATAATTGATGGTTGCGACTCAATCCCTATTGTTTTTTAAACTAACTAAACTTGTTGGCTCAGGTAGATGATGATAAAACACTAAAGTACCATAAATTCATCGCATCCTGCTAATGCCATCTTTATCCATTGGTTTAGATCCATTAGGAGTATTGATTGCTATGAACAGAATATCTCTGGACCTAATATAGTACTGTTTTCATACAGACTGACAACATTAATTTTAGTACATTCTGGTTATTTTTGAAGTGGAATTATTTCCTTTCGATGCTTAGTGGTTTCTGAACTGTCTTATTGTTTGTCTTTTGCTTTGCCACTGGCACACTGTTCATTTTTCCATCATGAGACATTTGAGAGTTGAAGAAATGATAACTACCTGTAGGGTTTGAACCAAGTTCGGCCACTAAGCTATTTCCGGTCAGTGACTGACCTGTCGGGCTGAGATGATAGTATTATCTAGTCCCTGGGTAGTGGTCACTGTTGGGTCCTACTCCTTAATATCAAGTGAATTTTTTCATCAAGCTGCATTGTCGCTACTTGTCTAACTGACTCGACATTTCGTGCACTAAGTTTTAATGCTAGGCAGTGATATATATATATATATATATATAATCAGTGCCCACTCATATTCAATACCGTTTTTAACTGTTTTTAACACTTAATTTGGAATATTCATATTTATTATCTAACCCCAGATCTTGATTTTCCTAAAGATTTGAAAACACTCGTCATTTGCTATTTTAGGTATCTATATAGCTGAAATGTACAGCAACTTTCCTACTTTGAAAAATGATAACATTATAAGAGCTGCAAAAGGTGAGTCAATTTCTCGCCTACCTGTATGGATAATGCGTCAAGCTGGTCGTTATTTACCTGAGTTCCGTGAGCTACGTGAAAAACACGATTTCTTTGAGATTTGTCGTACTCCAGAACTTGCCTGTACCGTAACTCTCCAACCCATAAGTCGTTTCGATCTTGATGCTGCAATTATATTTTCGGATATATTGGTTATACCTCAGGTGAGTTTAGTTTTAGTTTACAACTGTTATTGATTAGTCTTCTTCACTTTAATGTTATCATTTGACCTAAACTAGTCTAACTGAGCGAAAATAAACAGTCACTCTATTTTTTCGTTATTTCTGTACTCAAGCACTTCCGCCTACAAACCATTTAATACACTTTAATAGTGTAGTCACACATGAGCATATAAATTGTTTTTAACACAAAGGATGGATTAGGTTGAAATTTAATCATAAGTTTCGTTTGTGGCTGTTTTAAGTTTCCTTGTTTATTGTTTACTTTTATTTGTTTAAACATAAACATTGGTACAAGGGGGCGCTACACAATAACAATGAGGTCAGTAGCAGTTATCATTGGTTTGTGGGAGGGCTGTGATACTGTCCAGACACACAAACTAAAGCAAGTGTTTTTGTGTGGAACCACACTCCGAGCCTTTGACTTGAAAATCTAATCCACAAGGTATTGGAGCAGCGTTAAGCGATGCAGTCCCATGGTAGCCGGTGAACAACAATAGGTTCATACGCCTTTTGTTCCTTCAGGATCCTGGAGCCCATGTGAACCACTGGTTTAGAATCAGGGTCTTCCAACTCCCTCTCAATTTTGTAGGCAACACCCTCCCCATGAGAAGGCAGTAAGTAGGACTTCCCTGATACTGTCTGTATACGCGTGGCCATGTGAGAGCATTTCGAGAGAGAGATAGGACTTTTCATACCCTCGGCCATACCATCGATCAGGAATCAATGGTTAATAAAAAGATTGAGTCAAAAGTCTCTTTCTTGTATGTTTAGCGTCATATATTTAGTTGTTGACCTATTAAAATGCTTTATGATAACTTGAAACAAATCTGTATGTACTTGGAATATTTAGTAACATGTTTTCTTTTAGCGGATGCCATATTCTATTTTTAGCTTATCCACACCACATAGGAAACCTATAACACAAATATCTAATCAACATTTTGTTTGATATGCATTATTTTTAAAGTGATTTGTTCTTGAAATCTTATCTTCAGATAAGTCTTACTAACTAGTTGCAGAAATTGAAACGTTTGTTCGGCACATAGACTAATTGACTTGCAGTTTTGATGACCTCGAAATATGTATCATGTAAAATGTCCTCAGAGCTATGACTCAGCTACGGGACCCTTTCGATTGTTGTCTACTACTTCACGTAATTGAATTTCGTCTATTCATATTCCAAAACCCTTATGATTATGGCGACTGTGTTACATGGCTCAAAATCAGTTGCCGGTCCAACTAGAAAGCGATGACGCAAATGCATTCATTCTTTATCTTTAAGATTCATAGTTTTACTATTATTACTCTTATTTCGAACTGTATTATTTATATTTAGTCCCACTTCCATTGAAAATACTACTGTTTCTTGTTCTTTGCTATATATAACTATGGTCCCTTCTCACTTTGATGTGGCAATTGATCCATTGATAATAATTGGTTGATATCACCAAATTTTTACCTTTTCTCATTTCTCATCTGAGAACTATACCCTAAATTTAAATAGCTTTTGGACATAGTATGCAAATATTACAATATATATTTTTGTCACACGATAAAAGTATTGTTGTGGTTTTTCTTTTCTGTAGGCTCTTGGTATGGAAGTCAAGATGCAACCTGGTGTCGGACCTAAATTTACTGAACCTTTACATTCAGTAAACGACTTAGATCGGCTAAATGCTCAAGTTGATGTACGAAAAGAATTAAACTATGTTTATGAATCAATAACTCTAACACGTCATCGACTAGATGGAAAGGTCCCATTGATCGGTTTTGCTGGTGCTCCTTGGACTCTAATGTCTTATATGATTGAAGGTGGGAGTTCCAATACTTATTCCAAAGCGAAAAAATGGTTATACACCGAACCTCAATCAAGTCAAAGATTGCTTAGTCTACTTACTCAGATAGTTGTAGAGCATTTGATTCAACAGGTTCTTTCCGGTGCACAGTTACTTCAAGTAATTGCCTTTCTTCTCATTTTAGTTTTTTCTTATTGGTAGCATGCTAATTATATACATTCGACAAAATCACCACATAATATAGTGACATTGTTTTAATTTCCTCTAATATGGTATATATATATATATATATAATTCAGTTGACAATTGAACTGAGGAAGACTTCTTTTAGTTAGAGGACTGCATGCTTACATTGAGTCATTTAAGAAGGATCAGACTGAAAAGTGCCACTTTTGCCTTTTTCCTGTATGACAACTGATTTGTTCTGGTATATCACCACCAAAACATGAATTCCTCGACTATTTCTAACCAGTCACTAATCGGTAAATACCAACACAAAAATGATTCAGTAACCAAGTACATAACTCCGCCTGTAGCTCCTCTGGGGGTTACTGCCGGTCCCAAGCCCGGGTAAAGGAGGAGGGTTGGGCATGGGGTTAGCGACCCCATCCCGTAGAAATTCAACTCGCTAAAAAAACGCTAACCAGAAAAAATTATTCAAACCTTTCAAACTCTGCCCTGGGAGTAGAAGGGATAATTATGACGTCTCATGATGAAAGCCGAGTTCCTTCGGAAGTGATGAGGCCGATGCACCTTCTTACAACCAGAGCGACAATTTTTATAGGTACATGGAATGTCCGAACAATGTGGGAGACCGGAAGAGTCTTCCAAATTGCTGCAGAAATGAGAAAATACAACCTGGAGGTTCTTGGAATCAGCGAAACACATTGGACGCAGGTTGGACAACAACGTCTGTCTACAGGAGAACTTCTGTTATACTCCGGTCATGAAGAAGAAAATGCCCCACATATACAAGGAGTTGCATTGATGCTGTCCAGAAAAGCACAAAATGCACTTATAGGATGGGAATCTCATGGACCAAGGATCATCAAAGCCTCCTTCAAAACAAAGAGATAGGGCATTACAATGAACGTCATCCAATGCTATGCGCCTACCAATGACTACGATGAAGACGCTAAAGACCAATTCTACGATAGGCTGCAGTCGATCGTCGAGAAGTGCCAAACCAAGGACCTGAGAATTCTGATGGGAGATCTCAATGCTAAGGTTGGAATGGACAACACTGGATACGAAGATGTCATGGGACAACATGGACTGGGAGAAAGGAACGAAAATGGTGAGAGATTTGCAAACCTATGTGCCTTCAATAAACTGGTAACAGGTGGCACCATATTCCCACACAAAAACATACACAAATCCACTTGGATTTCACCGGATCACATTACACAGAATCAAATCGACTATATCTGCATCAACAAAAAGTTCAGGAGGACGATGGAGGATGTGAGAACCAGAAGAGGAGCTGATATAGCATCCGATCATCATTTGCTGGTCGCCAAGATGAAACTAAAACTCAAGAAGCAGTGGACAACGGCGCGGACAACATCACAAAAGTTTAATACGGCCTTTCTTCGAGATGCTGACAAACTCAACAAATTCAACATAGCCCTCAGCAACAGGTTCCAGGCCTTTTATGATCTACTCAATGGAGAGGGGACTACCATGGAGAACAACTGGAAAGGTATCAAGGAGGCAATCGTTTCAACATGTCAGGAAGTTCTAGGCCAAAAAAGTACCATCACAAGGAGTGGATCACTGTTGGTACACTGGATAATATTGAAGCAAGGGGGAACAAGAAGACAACAATCAATATCAGCCGAACCAGAGCGGAAAAAGCCAAGGCACAAGCCGAATACACAGAGGCAAACCAGCAAGTGAAGACGAGCATCAGAACCAACAAACGTAAATATGTGGAAGATTTAGCAATGACAGCGGAAAAGGCTGCAAGAGAGGGAAACATGAGATAACTGTATGATACAACAAAGAAACTTGCTGGAAATTACCGTAAGACAGAAAGACCAGTGAAATGCAAGGAAGGCAAAGTAATCACCGACATTGAAGAACAACGAAACAGGTGGGTAGAACACTTCAAGGAACTCTTGAATCGACCAGCTCCACTGAACCCACCCAACATCGAAGCAGCACCCACAGACCTCCCAATCGATATTGACCCACCAACAATTGAAGAGATCAGCATGGCCATTAGACAAGTCAAGAGTGGCAAAGCAGCGGGACCAGACAACATCCCGGAAGAGGCACTGAAAGCAAATGTAACAGCAAATGCCAAGATACTCCACATCCTCTTCAGTAAGATTTGGGACGAAGAACAAGTACCAATAGACTGGAAAAAAGGACTTCTGATCAAGATACCAAAGAAAGGCGATCTGAGCAAGTGCGACAACTACAGGGGCATCACTCTCCTCTCAATACCAGGAAACGTCTTCAACCGAGTATTGTTAAACAGGACGAAGGATTCCGTGGACGCCCAACTTCGAGATCAACAAGCTGGATTTCGTAAGGATAGATCGTGCACAGATCAAATCGCAACTCTACGGATCATTGTAGAACAATCAATCGAATGGAATTCATCACTCTACATCAACTTCATCGACTACGAGAAGGCATTTGATAGTGTGGACAGGACGACACTATGGAGGCTTCTTCGACACTACGGCGTGCCTGAGAAGATAGTCAATATCATACGGAACTCCTATGATGGACTAAACTGCCAAATCGTCCACGGAGGACAACTCACCGACTCGTTTGAAGTAAAGACCGGTGTCGGGCAAAGTTGTTTACTCTCACCCTTTCTCTTTCTCCTGGTGATCGACTGGATTATGAAGACGTCAACGACTGGAGGAAATCACGGGATACAGTGGACAGGCAGGATGCAGCTTGACGACTTAGACTTCACAGATGATGTGGCTCTTCTATCACAAACGCAACAACAAATGCAGAAGAAAACGACCAGTGTAGCAGCAGCCTCAGCAGCAGTAGGTCTCAATATAAACAAAGAGAAAAGCAAGATTCTCCGATACAACACAATATGCTCCAATCAAATTACACTTTACAGAGAAGCTTTGGAGGATGTGGAAACCTTTACATATCTGGGCAGCATCATTGATGAACATGGTGGATCAGATGCAGATGTGATGGCGAGGATCGGTAAAGCAAGAGCAGCATACTTACAACTGAAAAACATCTGGAGCTCAAAGTAATTGTCAACCAACACCAAGGTTAGAATTTTCAATACAAATGTCAAGACAGTTCTACTGTATGGGGCGGAGACGTGGAGAACTACGAAAGCCATTATCCAGAAGGTACAAGTGTTCATCAACAGCTGTCTACGTAAGATACTTCGGATCCGATGGCCAGACACTATCAGCAACAAGTTACTGTGGGAGACAACAAACCAGATTCCGGCGGAGGAAGAAATCAGGACGAAGCGCTGGAAGTGGATAGGGCACACTTTGAGGAAATCAACCGATTGCGTCACAAGACAAGCCCTCACATGGAATCCTGAAGGTCAAAGGAGAAGAGGAAGACCAAAGAACACATTACGCCGAGAAATAGAGATAGACATGAGAAGAATGAACAAGAACTGGATAGAACTAGAAAAGAATGCCCAGGACAGAGTGGGTTGGAGAAAGCTGGTCGGCGGCCTATGCTCCATTGGGAGTAACAGGCGTAAGTAAGTATGTAAGTAAGTAACCAAGTACATGTTCCTCGTTTTTGTTTTGCGTCATATTTTTGTACGTAAATGCTAGATACACTTCATGTATTTTTCTACGGTTTTCGAGTAACCTGTCATTGTAAATAATTACTTATATTTTCTATTCTCATAGGTTTTCGAATCTCATGCTGGCTTTCTTAGCCCACACTTGTTTAATACATTTTGTTTACCATATTTGAAACAAATTTCGGATGAAGTACGAAGCCGTCTGTTGAATGAATACAAAATTCCTAGAGATTCCATTCCACCGCTCATCGTATTTGCTAAAGATGGCCATTATGCTCTTACTGAATTATCTAAAGCTGATTATGATGTTATTAGTCTAGATTGGACCATATCTCCTAGATTAGCTCGAAATACTGTTGGTGCTCATATCACATTACAAGTAAGTTAAGATTGCTTGCTACTAAGATCATCGGTTTTATATTTATTTATATCCAAACCTGCAATTTTTAATATATCTATTGAAGATACATATTCAATGAGTAATGATAATTATTATCCGAATAAAGTTTCTACAAATTCAAACACTTTTGTAATTCATAGAAAGTCTTTAGAACTAGTTCCTTACTACATAAGACTAGTTTTATGTATTTTGCTAAGTGAATTCATAAGGAAAGCATACACGAAACATACTAGTTGTCCATTTCAAAATGAATTCCTAGTTAATAACAGTAACTTGTTAGGTCTAAGACTAGGACAAAATAGGTACCTAGTTACCTTTAATTTTCAATAGTTCTCCGGTCGATACTAATATATAACAATTGTTTTCGAATTTTTTCAGTGTTTAACAAAACCAAATAAGTAGTAAATAAAATCATTTTTAGTTAGCTTTATATTCTTTGTTTAGTTAGATAACTAAATTAATCAAGCAATTGATAGAGCTGTCATTTTATCCTAAAGTGAATTCCTAACTCGCCTGTTGAACAAGATAGTATCATGTTTATAATTAACAAGATCACGACTTCACCATATTGTTCCTATTCATTGTTAGTAATAAATAGTGCCCATCATTGTTTTGAAGGTATTATAATTCATTTCTATGGAAAGATTTAATTTTATAACTATCTTTAGCTCACTAGTTCAAGCTAACGTCCCATTTCCTGTAAGCAAATATGTAGTATTGTCTCTTAGTCCTGCAACAACTTTGAACTAAATTACTGATTTACATTTATGTACTCATTATTCTATAATTTTCTTCCATATTTATAATTTAAAGAAACTTAACATTTACTTTTCTTGTTATAATTATTTAAAGGGTAATTTAGATCCTTGCGCGTTATATTCTAATGAGAATCAAATTTCAAGTTTAGTAAAAGAAATGATTAATGATTTCGGTGTACATCGTTATATTGTCAATTTGGGTCATGGTATTTATCCCGATGTTGATCCGGATAAAGTAAACAAATTTGTTGATTTAGTACATCACTTATCAAACACAATGTTGAACTAATAAATATTTTTTTGGTAATTTTTTTTATTCCTTTTCTTCGTATTTTTACAAAAAGTTATTTTTATTCTGTATTTGTTCTACCTCTATTTCAATGAGCCTGTTGTTATTTTTTTTGGAGGGCTGTTTAAATAGGTTGTTCTGTACTTTTAGTTAGTTGTTAATTTATTAATAAAGATAAATTATGCTTTCTGGGAAAAGTTATTAGTAAAGTTTATAACTTATTGATGTACAGATAATATATAAATGGAGGATAAGTTACTTGCACAATCTTCTAGAATCTGATCCAATTAGATGAGTGTTTATAACTGGTTTGGTTTTCGTAAGCAAAGATAAATAGTGGCTAGCAGTGGAATCCAGGACGCGCGTTTCGTCCTATTTGTGAATCATCAGCTGGATGTACCTGCATCTCATAGTTGATGTTCACTCTGGGACTCGAACCCAGTACCTTTCGCTTCAAACGCCATCGCGTTATCCACTCATCTACTGAGTCTTGATAGCCACTTGCTTGTGCAATGGGGTGAAGTTTAAATTCACTTAATATTGTTTGTTTGAATCTTCCCATTGATGTTTAGGACTGCAACTGGTCTATATCGAGGCAATACACTCAGTATGCACATATGCCAATTAGAGAATGACCAGTTGCAGTCCTAAAAACATCAATGGGAATATTCAAACAAACAATACTAAGTGGTTTGGTTTTCATTTATTATGTTATATACGTTGTACTACGTAAATGTATGGTAAAAATTGTGACTCTTTTGAATGGTTCTGTGTGTTAAACTTTGAGATTTCTTTGAAAGTTCCACTGACAACGATGGTAAACGCTATATAGAAACTAACAAACAACTTATAATGCGAAAAAAAACATTATTTGCCCTGTCAAAACATAATATTCTAAGTGAATTTGTCACTTTTTGACATTATCATAAGCTGAGTCGTGTAATTTATTCATTTAAATTGCCATCTGGCATTGCAAATGTATCGAGACTCAAACTCAGTACATATCTTAGAAATCAATACAATAGTGTTATTAGGACTAACTAAAACGGAATCGTCATCCCAAAATATATTGAAATTGTATGTATAGGTGATATCGAGGCATTCACTCAATATGCACACACACCAACAAAGACTGATAAAATAAATGACAACAAACGAATAAAATTTAGTTTAATCCAGTTTCAGCATTTTGACTTGTCATTTGATCTTTATTGCCAATTCTTCATATTTCATGTAAATGTACACTCGTAAAAACTCACTAACCATTGGTATTCGTCTACTCCTTTTTCAATCCACACATCGTTGAAAAATTATGATTATTACCGTTAAGTCTGTCTACTATTCCCATCACCTCTGTGTTCTTTCATATTCTGTATGACAGTTTACTACTTACTAAAACCAAGTAGTTTATATCATACTCAACTATTTCTATCCTTTGTTTGCTTTGACGATGTAATACGACGTAGCTCCGATGCCTAATCTGCTAAGTCTGAATAATGTTTTTTTTACTTCTTTTCTAAGTATTTTTGTGCATAAGGTTATGCCATATATTCAAATAATAAGTGGTTTAAAGTACATCTAATCGCTTTCACTATATGATATTGCTAGGACTTGCGTTCTTCCGTCACAAGGAGCCATATCTTATCCATTTATACTCTTATTGACATGCTTTGGTTCATCACGGTACGTTCGATTGGTTTTCATTCTGTCTCCTTCGCTTCATTTACTTGCACCCCTTACTCTTTTAACCTTGTTAATCTCTAACAATTTCAAGTTTTCAAAATAGGTCACCTTGCTTGTTTCATTTAGTTTTTGACACTGGAAACAGCCATATGGTGGTTTCTGAAGGATAGAGCATGCTTCAATTTTGTTCTTATTACCTTATTTAAATGAATATCTCTTCTCTTGATTGTGCTTCGATTAAGTGACACCATAGGATTTACGGTTTAAGCATTTTTCGAGTTTAATTTATTTTACATACCAGTGCTATACTTTACAAATTTCGCCTCTTGATGTCAGTATTCGAATCTAGGTTGAAACCTTGGACTAACTCTATGTCAACTTTAGCTTTAAATCAATTGTTTCGTGGCATTTTTTTCTCATGTGTTAGTTCTTGTGCTTATAATTACGTTTATATTTTTAGTGATATATATTTCTTGACTATAATTCGTTAGTTTTTAACAATGCTGGATTGTGTTCACAAAAACCAATTGTCGTCTTTATAGCTTCCCTGTCATTTAAATTGTAGCTATGTGAGAATAATTATTATACTGAACGTTCAAGGATATATTAATCAAAGTAAAAAAGAACGTATATTGATGAAATGCTACAAAGTAGGAAATAACTAACATTGAGAACTACTAAGTTTCCAATGGCTTACGAAATAATTAAATTTTTTAGTGGAAAATAATCAGATATTCAATTGATTAAATTTCACTTTTCAGCTAATTTATCTCACTTCATTCTATTTTCGTTTTACCGAATTTAAATGTAAAAAAACACTGATATCGTAGACCATGCAGTGAAAAGACAGCGTTTATCAAAAAGACATGTTATAGTCGTGCAATTAATAGTTCTTACAAGCTTTGCGTTCGCATAAGCTTATCTGAAGTTATCAAAACAAATACCTGTTTTAAACCACAATCATAATTCTACAATTTTTTAAAACAGATCAATTGAATAACCAGTTTTTGGATACTTAATCTTTTCTAATGTCTATTGATAAAGTCAAAACAGATGCTAGTTGACGTGTTTCGTTAAGATTACAAATCCACGTCAATCTCAGCAGATTTTGATTTATCTCAGTAGCTACCAATAAATTTTTAAGCTTTAAAACCCACGGAAAATTTTCTAAGCACTTGAATATCACTTCTAATCTGATATTTCTAAATGATTCTCAAGAATTTATGTACATTGTTAGTCGGTAATCTATTGTTTTCAATGTTCTAATAAAAATAGTTATGTCCTAAATTCTCAACTTTCTGTGTGAACACCTCGAATTCTCTATAAATTCCTGTTTAATGTCCATTGTTTACCATCTCTTTATAAGTTTACACTGATATATGGAGATGAAAAAATGAGATTGTTTGGGTCAACATTTTTTTATCAGTTCATTAAGAACTTAGATCAGGGTGAGAAGTTTGAACTCCACTCAGTTTGACGTTTTCAGATCAATAATTCGTGTATTATTATTATTATGAATGGTAAGTTTTGAGGACTATTTATGCACCAATATGATACATATATTTCCTATTGTATAACTGCTAAGTAACTCAACTATTCATATTCATGTTCCTCTTATTATAAGCTTTATTTTGACCTATGAACTATTACTATTCGATTTACCATTCCTGAGTTCTACCCAGTCTATTAATTACTGTCCCCCCTTTCACAGCCACATCTGTCCAAATCTTGTACAAATGTTATTTCCTATCTTATGGTACGATGTGGTCAGTTTGTTTGGTATATAAATCCAGTATGTTTGAGAATAATGATTCATATTGCAGAGGCTGTTATTGGTGTTCTGGACTTAACTGGCTGTGCTAGGTAGATAGCAGAACCGACAAGTGCTCTAGACTGCTCATACGGTTTCTGTGTCATTGGTCCGATCGATAATTCACTGCTCTCCATTTGGCGGGAATCATCATGTCATACATTAACTGGGCACGCACGCAGGCCACAAGATATAACAGTATCAATTCAGTATAAACATCGTTCTTTAAAACAATTGATAAATTTCCATAATGGGATGAGAAGACAGATTGTCAGAATTATGTGGTATATTTGCATAATACATTTCGAACAATCTAATCACACGTATACTTGTTAAGACATTTTTATATGAAAATTAAAAGATAAAAGGTAAGCCGTAACAAAGAAAAATAAAGCACAGAAAAAACAATCCGGTAACCACTTTGGATAATAAATCAGTATTACCCAGATAGATTAAGGATAAGAACAAATTTTTTTGAACACATAGAGGGGGTTTCAGTTTCCATATAGCCAAAGCCTCAATCAACCTTAGCATACGTCCTTGATGGCTCTCGTACAACTGTTATATCGTATGGGCCCATAATTTATAAGAACGTGCAATTTAGGGAGGTAGTGGATTTTATTGATCGGACGCAAATGATGATTGAAATCGTACGAGCAGTCTTGATTGTGTATCGGCCCTGCTACTCTGCCTAGCCCAGCCAGTTGAGTCCAGAACACAAATAACAGCCTCGGCAATATGAATCATTATTTACAAACATACTGGGTTTTTATACAAACCAAAGTAATCTATAAACTGATTATAACTCAATAATCGTATGATCATAAATCAAAGATCAAAATAAAGCTAATGATAAGAGAAACACGAATATGAATAGTTTAGTTACGTAACAACTGTACAATAAGAAATAGGCATAATACATTGGTCGATAATAGACCATTCATAATTCACCAGAGGATATAACACCTCCCCTTTTTGAGAAATCCGGATTTTAAATTCCTCGGATTCACCCTCCCCCACGAAAGACTGTTGGATCCTCATGTACCCAAGTTACCATTATTGCGACATTATTTAAAACATATTCGTCTTATTTAACAGAGAATCCACTAGAACTGATTAGATCGTAAGGATCGACGACATTCGATTTGAGGTTACCAGCGTCTGATTCTTCTGAAACAGTTTCATTTAATTTACTCGGAACCTCATTAGTAGATAATGAATCATTAGGATAATCAGTATCTATGAAAGTTGTGTTGGATTCTTGATTATCATTTAATGCATCCGATATTTTTCTCCCATTTTTATAAGAGATTTGAACAGGAACATATGAATCAGCAAAATAATCGGGATCTGGCAGAACAATTAGATAATCTTGATCGTTAGATTCATTAGAAAATTTTTTTGCATCATGACTGGTTTGATTTGGCGCCACTGTATTCACTATACTGCTCGGTTTGTTCCCCGTTTCTTCGTGGGCGGGTACTGCAGCAATTTTATGGGCGCTTAA